TAAACATGAATAAAGATGTTTTGGTATTGGTTGGTGATTATTCCAGATGTATGTTCCAATCAAGACACTCACTGCATATACAGTATTAATTCAATTATTTTTTCTTTTGTATTGTGGAATATTACAGTTGCAAGCCAATAAAAAGAATCTTACCCCATCCAGTCTTTTTGTAAGGCTGATAACAAGACTCAATTTTAGTTGTATGACTAGATAGTAACATTTGGACTTGTAAAACAAGTCACCAGTGACTTGTTTTCTTTGAAATGATCCCTGTAGATTGTAAATAACATCCAACAATGTATCATACTCCAATCATTAGTACAACATACACAAACCTAATTCCTTGTTGTATTCACTGAGTGTAGTTAAGTCTCCCCCCTCACCCCCACCCCACTCCCACCCCTCCCCCCCCCCCCCACACACACACACACCTCGCAATTCAACCAGCAATTTTAGAATAATTAGTAGCAAGATACATGCATCAGATTGGGGAGTTCAGCAAAATACACAGAAAAAATGCAAATGTCCATCTTAGGCATACTAAGCTTGTGTAAAGCATTGTTGATGACAGTGGACAGAGAGAGCTGCTTACAACCAACACAACATGACAAGCGTTGCAATTTTAACATTTTTAAATAATAAGGGATAACAGAAAGTATCGACTTGTAAAGTTAAGTAAAACTTTTTATTAATCGCAATTTTAAGGTGTCAAGGAAATGATTCACCCATCATGACCTGATTGGCAATTGCAGTTAAAAATATTGGACAGTCCCAATTTGCTTAAGGTTTCAAAATGGTGAGAGGGTCCTTCACCGGTTATGTTTTCATATCTCAGTCTAGTATTTTGAAAGAAGGGATGTTCTGGTAGTGTAATGGGTTGTGTCTTTTTAATCAGAAAAGAGTTACCAATGCAATTTAGTGGCAGCTAATATTACTCAATCATTTTAAATGATGCATCTTAAAGCCCCGGTTTTCTCCAAATCATTGATGTTAGTGGAGCAACAATACAACAGGTAAGCGGTGCAGATGTGGATTGAATGTAAGACAATATTCGGAGCTTGAAGATTTCCTCATGAATTGGCATCAAACAGTGACTTTTAATGTCTTCATGCAATTGAAACTGGATTTGAATAATGCCTATCAAAACAGCGGCGTGTGAGCTCTTCCAAAATTTGCTTTCAATTATGTCAATCACAAATGATGGAATATATATTTCCTCCCAAATCCGAGATGAAAAGATATAGAAAATATTTTAGAAAATAGAGAGAGAGAAGAGAGAGAGAGAGAGGAATAACAGAAAGAGGGACAAGAGAGAGACAGAGAGAGAGACTGAATGTGTGTGTGTGTGTAAAAGAGAGAGAGAGAATGTGTGTGTGTAAGAGAGAGAGAGAAAGAGAATGTGTGTGTGTGTAAGAGAGAGAGAGAGAGAGAGAATGTGTGTGTATGTGAAAGAGAGTGCGAGGCCGAGAGGGAGAGACACATAGACTTACACAGTACGAGGGGGAGCAGAGAAAGAAAGAAAAAAAGTTTTTTTGTTTATTTGCCCAAGAAATACATCCAACATTGGCTGTGATTTGATTTACTAAAATCTTCTCATGAATGCCCAACATTTCTCGACTAGTTAAGTGTTTTCAGTTCTCATTAACCAATTTCACACACTTTCCTGATTCATTTTCATTCCCAGAGAGTAGAGCTATTTCGCCCTCTTCATTGAAAATAACTGAGGAGAAGATAGCTTACAATAAAAGTGCATATCAACACCGAAAACAACTACATGAAGAGAAAATACTACCGAGCCAAAACAGGCAAATCCCAACATATTGCCAAGTTTAAAAAAAACACGCATATATATATATATATATTTCGTGTTTTAAATGACATAAATAACGTTACAATTTTAGTTTTTATTTTAATAACAAAAATCTGCATATTCCTACCAAGCGTGAACTTATTGTTTGGTCCACTTTCCGGGCATTTCGATCTTGCAAAGGCTGGTGATGGGATATGGCTTTTCTGTCACGATAGAATGAAAGAGAAGGGGATGCGGTACCTCAAATGCTTAAAAATATTTCTTCGCAGGACAGTTTAAGAGCCAAAAAAAGCTCAACATTTTAACAAGAATAAGAGGAGAATTAGTTTGCCGCTGGGCTTAATTTCTCCCCTTACATTCTAACTAGTTATTGAACTAGCGAGAAGACTTGAAGGCCATTTGCTAAGAGACAGATTTCTCCGTGCTTTATTCATCAATAACTCCTTGGCAGTGACCTATTGGAACGAGTCAACCAAGAGAGGTGAAATGCGGGTCACGCTGTCTAACAAATATTAAAATGCGCCTCTGTAACAGAGGCGGTGGTGGGGAGGGGGGGGGGGGTGGTGGGGGGTGAAGAGCTTTAGATTAAAATGGAAAAATAATTTCCAATACCAGATATTTAATTCATTGGTTTGCATAATATTTCTTTCAGGCGCTCCTATATTGGCAAAGCTGCTTTTGCTGTTTAGCAGTAACTGTGCGGCATGAATGAACAATGGGAAAATGCCAGTTTTCACAGGACTTTCCTTTACTGACTCGGAGACTCGTAATTAAAATCCGTTTAGGTTGATTCATTGCAATAGTCCATAGACCTCATAAAACAAAGCGGATTGACATGAAACCAAGCGAGTGCTCCTTCTGTTAATATCAGCTGTCTGTGACTATTCCTCTTGCCACGTGCCATGTACAATCATTTCAAATAAAACGCGAAAAAAACGTACAAATAGACATATATCTTTTAAAAATGAAAGGAAACGTTATATTTAAAACCCAGGCGTGGGACAAAAGCACGTTTTTTAAAAAAAACACACAACGAAACCCTTGAACATATGAATTCGGTGTAATTGGTTGCCTGGCCCAGAGTACTGTGCTAATGGTGCGCACATCATTCAAACAATGGGAGTTTTCTATATTTCTATATGCAGGGAGACCTCTCTCTTTCCTTCATTTTTTTGGGTGGGGTGGGGGGGTCGGAACATTTGCTTTTACACCAAAAGTTTGGGATAATATATCTTCAATTGATCAAATTGATTCTTCTGATCTTATTTGGAATGAGCACCCAACACCACTTGTCTTTGATGAACTTTATTTTGTGGTTGATGTCTATAATGACATGTATCACAAATCGTAATCTAAGCCACGCCACTGTTTGTGGGAAATACATGAGAGGGAAGAGGTGGAGGTAGGTGGGAGAAATACTTTTTTAGGAAACTCAGAAATAATTTTGTTCATCAGAGGATGAGATTAGATAGATAGATAGATAGATAGATAGATAGATAGATAGATAGATAGATAGATGGATAGATAGATAGATAGATAGATAGATAGATAGATAGATAGATAGATAGATAGATAGATAGATAGATAGATAGATAGATAGATAGATAGATAGATAGATAATCTGTCACATTTCCTTAAATATACAATGTGTTGATTATCATTGTCTCCACAAAATGGTTGTACATTTACTGTACTAACGTAGCATTTCAGTGAGCCCAGAACTTGGCATTTTTTAAATATATATATACTTCATGTTAAAGTCAGTTTTCTTTTACGAACCATTGTACACTCCAAAGTTAAAATTGTATTCAACAACTTGCCAAATTCCGAAGGGCTCAGAAATGAGTAACTGTGGACCCAAGTGAAATTTCTCCCAATAAATCCTTAATATTGTTACCAGAAACACATCAAACCATCTTTCTGAATGAAGACCTTTAAGAGTTACTCATTCCACTGTGACAGAATCTCGCACGTTACGGGTGCAGAGAAAAGGGTTGTTTGACTGAAGGGGGGGCTCATTTTGACCTGTGTTTGTATGTGTATCTGCATTCGGTGTTCTGTTAGTCTTAACAACTATCCAATTGGTGACACCGTAAAATGTTAGCACAGCTTTTAAAAAATAATGGGATCATTACTTTTATCACCGCAGGCTATTTCAAGCAGTCGTCTATATATACCCTGTAGAACCGAATTTGTGTTAGCAGTTTGTAATCACAAATTCGTCTCTGAGGGAGTATATGGTCGATGTCAAGACAACAGCTTTAGCAGTTATTTAGAATCTTGCCTTATCTTTAATTTTTCTTGACTGGCGTTTAATTCAATTAACCAGTTGAAATGCAGAGGTATTACGATTTGAAATGGGAAGGGGGGAAAAAAAGGCCTTTTAATGTGACTTGGGAGGTGCCTGTGTGAAACGCAAAGGTGTGGGGATTGTGCCTGTGTAAAATGTTATTTGCAGTCATCACCTTAAAGACACAGCTAGCTAGCAGGCAGAGCTCAATGGGGGCCATAATGGTTCTTATATCGTAAACGCAGCTATTGCAGGCACGACTCAAACAGCTCACAGACAACAAAACGTTAACACTGGCGTGATTTATTGCGATTTGCAAACCAATGCAATCTCATATCGTGAGCTGGAAGATGGGAGCGTGGCTGTCACAGTCCCAAACACTCAAATAAATATAATTTACTATTTTCTTTGTGCATTCCCCCCCCCTTCTGGTTGTCGCTCAAACATGACACTTGTTTTTTTGGCTTGTGACTTCAGTTATCATTCCCTCACTGCTCTTATTGTACAGCTCGATTGGTCAATGTGCAATACTCCAAAATTGATGACCATTTCACTTGCATAGAAACGTGCGATTGGATTTATATCTTAGGCTGGCGACTGACTATCAAACAAGAGAAGGCACTATTCTGGAGGCCATTTCCTTGCTAGATTTCTCAAGCGTCCTTTTTGGGCACAATCTATGATCCTAACGACCGTTTTGATATCAAGCATCACCAACATCGTTGTGAATGGAGAGAAAAAACGTGCAAAGAAATATGCAAAAAAGGCGTGAAATGCCACACGGCCGTGGAATATTGCATGTCTATGCACCAATGAACTTCCGGTTTATTAATTCAGAATAAAAGTGGAGTGGCTAAAAGTTCTGGATGCTTAAATAATGCAAAATTTTGAACTGTGGCGGTTAAGTGATAACAGTAAACCAACCTAACTGTCAATCTTTGCAAAAAGTCTGGGACACTGCGGTCAGACAATTTATTCAAGTTAATTTAGAAAGAAGCACGTTAAAGGATAGAATAGTGAGTCTATTTAATATTCTATTCTCTGGGAATCTGTTGGCAAAAAAAAGCATTCTGATGCTAATCTGCTGGATTCGAATTAGCTTAATGGCACCCACTCGGAAAACTTTTATCATTTTTACCCGGAGACACTATGCAAAGGTCAAACTACGGGGGAGGATGGGGGGATCGAACCTTCCAGGTGCCCACTTGGCCTTTCTGTCACAACGTGTGTGGACATCAGTTTTAAAGTGCAACGTCAAATAAAGACCCCCCAAAAAATCTCGAGGCAAATCGAGGTGAGATCCCCCCAAATCGGAAGGCCAAATATTGATGCTATTTTACCAGGAATTGGTTCCTTATCCGGGCTCTGCCTCTCTGAGAGCCATTGGCCGGTGGAGTCACATGGTGAAACTTAAGTTTGCACAGTCGCCTCAGAGTAGGAGGGTTTTATGGAGCAGAAAAACGACAAAGCGAGAAAAATTATTTACTCTTTCAGAAATTAATGACCATGAGCTCTTTTTTGATGGGCTCTAACTACATCGATCCAAAATTTCCTCCTTGTGAAGAGTATTCGCAAAATAGCTACATACCGGATCATCACAGTTCGGAATATTATAGCCGACCAAGGGATTCGGCTTATCCACCACAACACCAGGATCTGTACCAACGACCCAACTATCCCGAACGCCAGTTCGCCTGCGCCACCGTTCAAGGTCCCGGGAACCTGCCTGCGAACCATCGCGCTGGACATGAGCAACACCAAGTCGCTCACCAACACATCTCCAGTAAACCTGTGCCCTATGAACCAGCAGCGCTTTCCACCTCCACCACCACCACCATCGCCTCCTCGTCGCCTCCCTCATCATCCGCTTGCACCCAGCAGAACTTGGAACAGCAGCAGCGCACCAACGCCAAGCAACCTATAGTCTACCCTTGGATGAAAAAGATTCATGTGAACACTGGTAGGTGATAGCAGTTCAACTTCCCCCACTTTTTTTTTCCTCCTTCCCCTCTCCGTGTGGTGTGTAAAAAGTAAGAAGAGAGAGAGAGAGAGAGAGAAGGGGAGTTGGGGGGTGGGGGAAGTTCAGGCGCAGGTACTATAATGCAGAAAGAGGCAGAGAAAGAGGTTGGGAGTTTGAAAGAGCAGAGAGAAAAAAAATCAACCCTATTGAACTGGATTTACGAGGAACCCTCTCACACAGAGTGGTGATTACACTCGCCATAAATTTTTATTGTCGAGGAAGTAAGGCCATGTGGTCTTCTGTGCTATACTCTGTGCGTGTGTATGTGTGTGAGAACTCGTAGCTTTGTAGAAGTGCATCAATAATTAAAACCACTCTTGAGAGGAAGCGGAGGTCGGGTGGGGGGGGCGGGGGGGTGCGGGGGGGGGGCGGAGTGGGGTTGAGAAAGGGGCTCTTCACAGAATAATGTGTTAGTAACAACAGCTGCAAGTTTAGCCCAAATCACGAAGGGGGGAAATCCAACGTTTTAAAGCCCTATTCTCCATTCTGTCTGTTCCCTCTGTCCATCCATCCTTTTTTCTTTCCCCAGTGAATCACAGTTATACCGGGGAAATCAAGCGATCACGCACTGCTTACACCAGGCAGCAAGTCTTAGAACTGGAGAAAGAATTCCATTATAACAGGTACCTGACCAGGCGCCGTCGCATCGAAATAGCTCATACTTTATGTCTGTCCGAGCGGCAGATAAAAATATGGTTTCAAAACAGGAGGATGAAATGGAAGAAAGACCATAGGCTTCCCAACACTAAGGTCAGATCCACCGCCTCGTCTACTGCTTCTGAGGAACTCTCTCACACGACCTCTCAAGAACAGCGAGGCGAAGATATCACAAGATTATAAAATAATATATCAGGGAGGAGAGAAAAAAAAACAATGACTTGTTTATTTATAGAATATAATATATATTTTTGTTCCTTCTTCGTGGGTTTCCTGGGCGTAAATTTAAGAAGAAAATCAGGTCTTCCTGAACGAGATATAAAATAAAATGCATGTGTGGATTGCATGGCTCCCAGGCAATTAAATGCCTAAAGGACTTTATTACGCTATCGGGGTTTAATTTATTTACAAATAGAAATGGAGTCAAAGATCTGTTTAGGTGTGTTCAGTCAATTTCCACAGGGGGTGTTGTATGTAGGTTGTTCACTTTCAAAACAATAACCCATGCATCTATGTTGGAGGCCACAGTGTTTTTTTAAAATAAATATGAAGGACGTCCATTTTTTAAAAAAGTAACACACTGGAAGCCTCCATGGATCTGATAAAGTTGTGGTATGTGTCACCGGATGTTAAAATAATAGATAGTTTTGTCTTGTATTACGGTGTAAAGTTTATGTGCACTGCAAAAAAAAGTTAGAGTGCTAAAGTACTTCTAGTCAATAAAGCAGAGGGGTGTATCGTGAATGTTACAAACTTTCTTTACACATTTTCCATTATTTTTTGCTGCTTTGGTCTTGTCCCCCTCTGTAGAGTCTTGAGTGGTTTAGAAAGCCACACGAGGGATGTTGAGCGCCACAGCTATTTTGACAGATTTAAAAGTTATAGCTCACCAAGCAGCCAAGAACTCCTGCTTAAAACCCTTAAGCTTAGTGCAACTTTTTGGTTAAGATGCTCGGGTGATGTGTGTGATTGAACTTAGCAAATTCAAGTCACCACCATCATGTTCCAATTGCCAATAACCACCCAGCCGCCCCCCCAAAAAAAATCATATATAATATCACGATTTAGTAACATAAATCTTTCCCCCATTGCTTGGCATATTCACACTGTTTATGTAATTTAGATATTGGAGGGAGAATTCGGTCAAAACAAATAGAGGAACACTCGTTGCAATATCAAATGCTTCCATTCCATTATAATTAATTGGGAAAAAATATCCATTAGGACCCAACAACAATTGAACTGATAGTGGGATTGCTGTACAGAAACCCATTTTGAGGAGTGTGCAGAGGAATATAGAGTAGGTCACTTCATTCATTTTCTAAAAGAAATAAACTGGACGTCTTTCTTCCACAGCGCGCCAAATTGTTCCATTGAATACAAAACCGTTATAGCATCAGAGACACAATTCTTTTAGCGGGGAGATCTCTGAAAGCTGTCAACACGTTTAACATTTAGAACAAATCATGTATCGTGTGTTTACATTCCTGCATTTATCTACTGTATGGCGCACACCAAATAGGTCAAGAGGTTTGAGAAACAACCCCAGCCCCTATCTAACCTATCGGGTGTCTTCTAAAATGTTTGAAATTGTGGCTATAAAACCAATGAAAATATTGTTCTAAGGTGAAAAAGATTTATTTATATGTTTTTTTTAAAAAAGGTTGTTGTATAGATTATAATTTGTGTCCTTGGTAGGAAATAAATGTCCTTTTTATATATAAAAATTAGGATTGTTCTAAGTATTGTGTTGTAAGTGCTCTATACAGATGTTTTTGCAAAAAAAAGGGTAGTTCTACTTATACACACAGGCTTTGAATTCTGTATTAGTTCTGTCAGATTGGAATAAGTAGGAATGTATTATCGAGGGCAAGATTAGTTGCTGTTTGCAGATAGGGCAACAATTCTTTGTGTTTTGACTACTCTTTCAGATGAGTTAAATCCACTTTACGTGGAAGATTCCAAAACTCTTTCCAGTAGTTATTTGAAAACAGAGTTTGTCAAATCCATAATTGGAAAACATTCCGTGGGTTGGTGTTCATTTTTGGATGTAAATATAATTATTAGGTTTCAGACATTTCAATGAACCAAACCATGTCCATTCCAGAAATACAGTACAGGGATTATATTCATTATATAGAATATACACTTATTAATTTTCACACACACACTTGCACTAAATTGCCAAATGTTTTTTTTAATGCTCCCAATTAATTACATAAATGCGTCCAGATCTGTTAAATAATTCCACCACATGGGAGCATTTTCACACAGCACTTTAAAACACCAAAACGTCGTCCCTTAACAACCAAGAGTGTTTCATAAGATGTTGTGACTGAAGTTTTTTTTGTATATGCATATGAATTGGGTGTGTGCTCAGTAGAAAAGTTCTCGCATGAAACTGAGGGGGAGGGAGATATATTTAAACCATTTCTTAAGTGGGTGTCAGTCAATCCTTGCTGGTAAATCATGGGACTAAGCAAAGAAAAAAAATGTTTCATTTTCCACAAAACAAAGTTCAGTCGGAATAAATTTTAACTGGATGTTCTTTGGAGGGAGGGAGAATGAGTGGTCAGTGTTTTCCTAGATTTCCATAGATAAAAGAACATCCCATCTGAAGACAAGGATGTAACATTTTAACCCCATCTTGCATCTGTGGAAGAAATTTTTTTTGGAGGTGGGGGTGGGTGAGAGGAGTGGGGGTGGGGGGGTGTTGGGTGGGGGTATAATATGCCTCTGAGTAACAAGAACAATTTTGTGGGTGTATAAAGTGGTTCAATGTAAGCCTTTTCCTTTGTGGTGTGGTTTCTTTTACTAATCTGACTTTTACCAGTTTTAGGCCCAGACTTGCCCTCTCACGTTAACCTGACTGTCTCTGCAACTTCATATTATGAATCCGCATTATATCTGCCTGGCATTAATATCTTTGTTTCACACAATCGAGCTCCCTGGTCGCCTCCATGTTGCGAGATTGAAAAGATAATTATGCCGAAGTTCGCGTAAACGGCAAAAGCGAGTTCATGGAGAGGGCAAATTTTCTAACCCATTAGCTTTATTTTAGTCGGCTAAGCTGACCTCTAAACCCTTGACCTGTTAGGGACTCTTAACGTGTACCTTCTGTGTTCTTTACATATATTTAACGGCATCGCCACTGTTCGCCGGCTTTGTGGCTGCATCATAGTAATGGGAAGGTTGGAAGCGACTGAATGCTTGTTATTTCATTGTGTTCGTCTAAACGTCTCTCTCCCCCCACCTTAAAAAAAAGCGCAGAGGGTGAAATAGCGGCCATGCTCCCTTCACTTCTCGGCTATCCACTGTTTAAGGGGTCGTCCCTGCTGTCCCCAGCCTAACAAATGGACATCTCCATGTATCCAAGACTAGTAAGTAGGTTTATGTAAAAAAAAAGCTGTGCTATCTATGTATTGAATCTCCGATCACTTGTCTGTTTTCAAGACTGCGTTGCGTGTTATCCTGTGTGTGTTTTAAGTGCATATTTATGGTATTAGTTCTATATTTAAAAAAAGACTTGTTAAAAAGACCAAAGTGTGTAAGAATTTGAGACCCATTTGCTGAAAATAAACAGCCTGAATGTTCCAATTATCTTACTTGTACTTGCCATTATTGAGGTGGTGATGGTTGTGACACGGTGGGGTGGGAAGGAAGGGGGGGGGGGGGGGGGGGGGCGGGGGGTGGTGGTAAGTCCCAAGACTCTCATAATTTGCTGGTTCAAAATCGTCCGCAAAAAAATATGGAAGAGATTTGGTGACCTCAGATATTTCCCACGCCTCTCCCAATGTGTCAAAAATGCACTTAAAAGCAATTAGTTAGACATTAAATAAATTACTTGGGGATTTAAACGTTAAGAGTTACTTGTGTCGGGTTGTATTGGTGGGAAACGACAACGCTTATAACTATTTGTGTCTATTTTACTCCCAAAAGGAAAGAATTAAAGTTTTTTTTACTTACGTTTAGCCTTGACTTTTGTAGCATCTGCCTGCAGACTGCTTGGGAATACAACTGCCTGCGTCTGATGGTTGTGTTTGAAAAAGTAATGTTTTACCCCCAAAATACAATCAACTCTCTTTTAAGTCGCTGTGAGGTCATCTCTTGTGTGTGAAGCCTCGGTGCAGTTTAGTCGAGCACCGAAGAACACATGGATTCGCCCCCTGTGTTGTGTACATCACAGGCAGACTTGTAAAATCGAAGGAATACAAGAACAGGGGCTACCCCTCCTCAAAGCACACTGTGGTTTTGGAAAGCAATATATTTTAAGAGGAAACGTATGAGGTCCTTAAATGGGTGAATTACGATTATATAACTGTAAGTGACATTGGTGCATGTAAGTAACTCATATTTATCGTGTTGTCATATATCAGTGATATACTTTTATACTTCCTAATCTGTCGCTGTGATTTATGTCACTGGCCAGTGTCCCAAACAGGCTTAGAGAGTGTGAGGGAGTGCGTGGAGATTTCCTTTACTGCTACCCCGAGTGTTTCCTGTGTCAGGAACTGTCCTCGGGGCTTCATGGACACCAAAGCTATAGCAACTCCTTTCGCTTTGCAATGAGTGGGGTTCACAAACTTGTGGCATTAATTGGAAAACAGGGTTGCTTTTATGAACGACCCGAGTATAAAAAGCGCATGTTGATCCATTAGAAATAAACCATTTAAGCCTTTGCAATCTGAATATTGCAGACTTTGGTATTAAGTGAGCAGATAACGATTCCCAACCAGCTTCGAGGTTGTATTGTATGCTGTGTTCCTTATATTTAACAATTAAAGGGCGTTTTTAATTCGGTGGTATGTGTGCGTGTGTGTGTTTATGTATGGAGAGGCGGTGTATCATTTTCCCTACAAAAACACAAGTGTGCCATCCAAAAATTGCAACAAAATCAAAACATCACAGAGGGAAATATCGAGCCTAGAGAATGTGTTTCTTCGCAACATTGGAAGATTTTTAAAATTAATTTCGTGGCATTTTGTCCATCAAATGCCATAACATTTTTTGGAGTAAAGTCTAGCGAAGCAAGTGGCTCGAAATAGCACAATGACTTCTTAGCCCCTCAAGACCATTTTCATATATTGCTATTTAAAATGGCGCAGGATTACGGAAAATTGCTTACTATTTGGTCTTAATTTGGGATCCGTTTTATCTTTTTAAAGATCTAGCGGAGGGGAGGGAGGGGGCTGCCTTTCACATGAACACTGGAATG